TAAGCCAACTCAGGGGCACCGTAATGTGATCTGTCCTGCGAGGGTCGGCCAATTTCCTGGCATCGGGAAACCGTGGGACTTTCCTCCTAGGGGCCCTTTGGATTAAAATCCCCACTAGGACACTACGTGTGTGCGCTGCATGTGGGTGCTCAGGGTGTGTGCTCAGCGTGGGGGCCAGGGAGGAGTCGCGGCGCTGCCGAGTTGCTTCGCAGCCGTGGTACCACAAAGACGCAGAGGTGGTCGCCTTTGTGATCTGGAGCGTGGTGGGTGAGTGGGCGAGCGAGTGAGTGTGTGGCTGAGTATCTTGGCCTCGCTGTGCGCTGCGTTGCACCGCTAGTCGAGTAGATAACCTTGCGTTCAATAAACCCTCGGAGCCAGGATGAACATCCGACTCCAATCGTCATTTATTGATTTTAACAAGGTAAAACTGGTGATAAAACAAAGATACAGCATCTGTTATAACCCGGAAACACCAACACAATGAACACCACAGCATCAGAACATTGTCTTAGATAACAATAGATCCTGGACGGACCAGGCCCCTACATTACCACTGAACAACTACACAAGAGCACAAGCCGGTGCGTTGCATAAAGGCACATTGTGTATTCATCCCACTGCACCCCAAATGTACAGCATTACACATAACACTAAACTGTGGATGAGATACTTCGTCATCTTTACTCTCAGGATCGCAACATAGCCACCTGGGCACAAGTCTGGCTCGACCTACTAAATCATAAGTAACATCCACAATAAGGAAAGTTGCAGGCTTCGTTGCTAACTAGGCCTCGTATTTACTACAACAACTTAACGGCACCATAAAGGCATTTACATAACTATAACGGTCATTCCAACATTACAACAGCATTGCCAATATTATAAGAATATAAACAAACTTACAGACAATGCTTCTCAAAGTCCCACGATGGACAACTGCGTCTGGCTTCACTGAGACGCGATGTGTGCCGCCATCTTGACTTATCTGTGTAATGGCCGACGCCCGCGTGGTTCAGTGGAAATCTAAAATCGTAACTTCCTGGTCACGTGACCAAAATTAGCATCAAAAACAGGAAATTCCTGTGTACATACCCCCCCCCCCCCCCATCTGCCGTGCGGCAAAACTTCTGCCGTGAGACAGAACACTGAGTGAGTGTGTGGCTGAGTGGGTAAGTGAGTGGGCGAGCGAGTGAGTGTGTGGCTGAGTGAGTGGGTAAGCATGTGAGCGTGTGGCTGAGTCAGTGGGTAAGTGGGCGAGCAAGTGAGTGTGTGGCCGAGTGAGTGGCTGAGTGAGTGGTTGAGTGGGTGAGCGAGTGGGTGAGCGATTGGGTGAGCTAGTGAGTGAGTGGCCGAGTGAGTGGGTGAGTGGTCGAGCGAGCGAGTGAGTGGCTGAATGAGTGTGTGGCTGAGTGAGTGGCTGAGTGGGTGAGCGTGTGAGCGTGTGACTGAGTGAGTTGGTAAGTGGGCGAGCGAGTGAGTGGCTGAGTAGGGAGCAGTAGTTCAGTGGTTAGCACGCTTTGGCGACCCGAGTTCTGAACCGGTCCTGGGCATCCCCTAGATTTATTTAGCCTCAAATTAGTACCTGGTGCGGTGTGTAAAAAAATAATCGCCGCTAGGAAGACAAAGGCGACCGGGCGTGGTCCTGGCCACCCACCGCCTCGCGTGCCGTGTCGGCCTTCATAGGTGCTGCTCGCTAACAGCACTTGCCCCAACAGTCTGTGAAGGCTACAAGGGGGATCTTTGTCTTTTATTTTGGCTGCGTGAGTGAGTGGATGGGGCGCTTGGTGTGGGCGAGTGAATGGGTGAGGGTTGTTGTTGATGAGACGAAGCCGTCAGGTAGCTCCGAGTCCCCAACGTGAATGGAGGAATCAGGGAGTGAAGTCGACGGGAAGGGTGGCCAATTAATGGGAGGGGCTGCACACGCTGCAGTAGCCACCACTCATGGTCCAGCGATGCCTCTATTTCACTCCCTGAGCAGGATCTCATTCTCTGTGTATGTTGAACTTCTTTCGCACCGTACGTAGCCAACCGTTTTGATCGGAGGTGCGAAGGACAATAAGCTAAACACAACAACAAGCAGTTCTCAAGGGATGAGTTTTCAATTCCGTATAGTGGTGTAGTGTATAGTGTAGTATATGTTGAACTTCTTTGGCACCGTACGTAGCCAGCCACGCTAATCGGAGGTGCAGGGGAATAACACAAAACTAAACACAACAACAAGCAGTTGTAAAGAAATTAGCTTTTAATTTAGTAAACAGTAGTGGTGTAGTGTATAGTGTAGTGTATAGTGTAGTGTACTGATTAGTAGCGTATGTATGTTGAACTTCTTTCGCGCCCTACGAAGCCAACCGTGCTAAACGGTGATGTGCGGGGGGGGGGGGGGTCAACAACACGTATTATAAAACACACAACACTCATTTCTAAATAAATTCTAAATAAATGAGTGTTCAATGAAGACGACTTCAAAGTGCACGGCTCCCGGTAGGCTTCCTAAACTAACATCGGCAAAGGAGCGTTCCAGATGGCCGCGGAAACAGCGCATCCGAAAAGCGCCGTGCGGACGACGACGACGATGATGGTGGTTTTAAACGCTCCTTGATGATCCATCACCACGGTGGTCGAGTTCCTGCCTAGCCAGTGAAGTTCCATCGCCAGGCCTGTTCACCGCCACGTGCATCCACTCCAAGTCCATTTGCTTTTCTCAACTGTCGAGATGATATGAACAAAAAAACTATTTGTTGTTTGTTCTTGTTGTGCAATATTGTTGTTGTTCACATATTCATCATCATGGCTTGGCTTCGCGAACGAAGATCTAGGAAGGACATCCACGTCTTCTGCAGGCACGCTGGTGGCTGAAGAGGCCTATGCGGGACAAGCAGGTCCTGCCACAACAGCTGCAAGTATAGGTCTCATCTGGGATGGGTGCTGAGGGATCACGGTTCTTCCTCCTTCTCCTTTTGTCCTCCATACGGGCCCTGCGGGTATCTTCACATATTATTGTTAGTACAATCGCATTGCTTGATGACATTGTTGATGATACTTCAAATTGTCGTTGGTGTTATATATATGTCTTAAGTTGTTGATGTCATTATCTTATTATTGTTGCTGTTATTGCAATCTTATTGTTTGTTGATGTCATTATTGCTCGTGACATTGTTAATATTTCAAGTCGTCGTTGGTGATTATATTCGTTCACGTTGTTGATGTTATTATCATCATCATGTTGCTGTTGTTGTTGATTGACTGTGGGGGATCATTCGGAAGAAAAAAAACGAACAGCAAGGAATCCATTCCGCGTGCGATCGACGTTTCCACAAACGTGCTTCCCCCTTGTGCCGTCTGTCCGTGTGATTCCGAGCACCATGCCTCGCACTTTTTAGTTCTTGGTTCAACATTTTTTTCTTTCGTCGCTTTGGCCCACACATTCACGGCCCATGTGGTCATGGCCGACTGTACGGAGTTACGCACCGCGGATTATGTGTATACTCTCTTCGTTCAAATATTTCCAAAGACACTCCAGCCTGCCGTTGTTCTCTGATTTAACTGTCCACGGGTAAACATTCTGCTGCATTTTATTGTTAGTTGTCGTGGTGGTGGTTGTTGTTGTGATCGTATGAATATGTAGCTGGTAACACTAGTAAGCTTCGATAACAAAGGGTTTTTTTGGGTTAAATCACGTAAATATAAATGTGTCGTTAAACCTGACACAGCCAATTAGTAAGGTTTGTCACGTAAACAGAACGTGCCAATTCGTCACTAGTACAGCACACCTGTGTGTTGGAGAACAAATCCACAACATTTACAATCTGAATACGATGTTTAGCCAGTAATTACACCTAGCTTCATCAGGCAACAGCCAGATTTGGGTGGTGGCGAGTTTAACGACACATTCATTGTTCTGCCCCATGGCAGATATGGGGGTGTGTTTACACATACACTTGCTGATATGATGGTGCTGAGTTTGGTCACGTGACCAAGAACTTCCGAGTTAAGGGTCTCTAAGTCACGAGGCCACGAGGGGGTGTCAGCCATTACACAGAGTACAAAATGGAGGCACAATTGGCGTCTCAGTGAAGACAGGTGCATCTGTGCATTGCAGCACTTTAAGAAGCATTGTTTTAAGAACCATTGTAAGTTCGTTTATCTTCTCATATTACTGGGAATGCTGCTATAATGTTGGGATTTGCCGTTATGCTATAAATGCCTTTATAATGCTGTTAAATTGTTATGATGAATATAGGGCTTAGTTAACAACGAAGCCTGCCACTTGCATTATTGTGAAATGTCTTTGTAGTTGGATAAGTCGAGCCAGACTTTTGCAAATATAACTTAAATGCGATCTTGAGAGCAAGGATGAAGAAGTATCTCATCCACAGTTTAGTGTTATATGCAGCACTGTACATTTAGGCTGCAGTATGGTGATTACACAAAGTTACCTTATTTAACACAGTAGGTTATTCTCCTGTTGTATAGCTATTCAGTATAAATGTAGGTGCCTGGTCCATCCAGTACCTATTGTAGAGATTCATGTCATCTAAGACAATGTTATGTAGCTGTAGTGTGCATTGCACTGATATTGCAAGTATTAACATGCTGTATTTTATGCTGGGTTTTCCCATCAATTTTACCTCGTTTTATTCATTAAATACGTTGGAGTCGGATGTTCACCCTGGCTCTGAGGGTTTATTAAATGCGAGGTTAACTACTCGGATAGTGGTGCAACGCAGCGCACAGTGAGGCCAAGACATTTATATTTGTATGCGATCTAACCCCAATAAACCCTATATTATGGATATTGGTCGCAAAAGCCTCCTACGTGTTAAACTGACGAGTAAGCTATGGCCAATGTCGAAAAGGCACACTTTATTCCAAAGAAAAAGAAAGTGTCTTATGACTCATTTTCCAAAACGGTCCCGTTTTTTGGGGGATGTTTGTTGGATGTTGGGCCAATTCCATTTAACATGTGTCTCCTCTAGCCTGTGGCAGGAAACTGGAAAACCCGAAAAAAGCGGTGCAGAAGACAGAGAGGAGAGAAATTCTGGGCACACGCGAGACAACAACACTTAAAGGGGTTCCACACGGATGGATTGAATCCATTGTTCTACTGAAGTGTCCTGGTTCGAGCCAAGAACGTCTGGTACATAGGGTGCACGAATTCCAGACTATGCCTCCCATCCATCGGTCACATGGTGTGGTTGTGTGACGTCCGACGTTTCGCTCCAAGCCCACGACCCTCGTGCGCGTGTGTGTGTGCGTACGTGCAGGCACTTTGAAGAGGCTGCACCGTGGAGAGGGAAACGTCGGACAAAGTCGTGCCGAACCAGCGAGGGATACGAACTGACAACAACAAACACATCGGATAGCCGTAGGGCACAACTGGGGGGGGGGGGGGGGGGTGGAATAACAAAAACCCACTAGCTAGTAAGGGCAATATGTAGAATTGTAAAACCATGTGGTGTCTATGAGTCATGGCACAACAGCGCAGGGGGTAGTCTGCATGATGGTCCAGATGTCTTGTGACTGTTCCCCTCCCACCTCCCATTTAAATCTCTTAAAACTTTTTTTTATAAAACGGGAACAAAAATGTTATGACAGGACAACAAACAAGAAAAAGGTCAATTAATTGGGGGAGGTTACAAAACATCTGGTACCCACCCAACCCTCTGTTACATTCTCTCCTGCCGATGGCTAATCTGGGATTTTCACGGGTTTGAATTGTATTCAAACAAACATCAGACTTACATGGAGATTACACCCCTACAGTGCGGGCATTACGCGGTGCACAATATTATATGATGGGGAGGCAGGCGATTTTACGACGGTGGTGGCAGCGGCCCGTGTCTACCGCAGTTTTTAAACAGGCGGGACATGTGCAGCATTAAAATATATATTTTTAACACGCTTTAATGAAATGTACCGTCGAGTAATGGCAGAACTCCACGACTCCAGGAAATGGCCCCGAAGCTTGCCATAACTTATGGGACCGTGGCCAATTACAGCCAACGTCATTTGAGCGTGGACAATTAGACCCAAGCCGAAACATAACATATAAAAAAATATTGCTTAAAAATATATATTTTTTATTTTTAATGATAGAATATAGTATTGTCATCAGTGTGACATAAGTATACCAAGTTTGCAGTCGATACAGCATTGGGAAGTGGGTTAAAGTTGAGTTACAAGATTTGAGGATACGACAACAGAGTGAGTTAAATAAAAGCGTGTAAAAAAGAATAAGAAATTGGTTTTTTTTACCCTTTCTGGCAATAAAACAGGTGTTAAAATGTTCAAACATACTTTAATGCTGTCCAAAAAGGTCCCATTTTGTAGCTGCTCACTCCATTTCACACACACAGTACTACTTGGCATCACAAAGATAAAGATCCCTTGTGTAGCCTGTAACAGGCTGTCCGGGGCAAGTTTCAAGTTTCATTTATTAGGTATAGCCCTGTGAGCCATTCGGCTCTTGAATCGGGTGCAACCACAACAAACAAAAACATGAACAAAAAACATCTTAAAGTGAATATGTGACTGAGTGCAAATAGAAAATCCAAGAAAAGGCAGCAAAATATTGCAGAAAAAGCACCGTACACCAACGCTGTGTGCAAAATTCCCAGTGGGATGCAAGTCAAACAACAGCAACCACAAAAAAACTTAGATTAAGGCCATCAGTCTAACTTTGTACTACAACAAACAAACATATCCAAACCAAAAAACTTTTAGAAAATCACCAAAATAAAGCCATAAAAGCAATTAAACAGTAGTCATAGGAACTGTGACCGAATTTTCACAATAACGATGTAAACAACATGTACTACCAAACTTTGCAGCCATAGCTGGCTGCATGAGTCACTCCACAACAGTAGGAGAGCATCAGTCGGAGTATCAACATTTTTCAATGCACCTTTAAGATCAGCACACTAAAAACACAGATCATACTTTGCAGCGATCATCCGGAGCAAAACATTGTATTTTAGGCCACTAAATTGCAGTGGCAGCTAGGGGTGTACAACTCCTCTAGAGCAGTTTTGAGTGAAGATCTCATAGGTAGTGATTCAAGTTGCAGTTTATTGGCAATAGCATTCTAGACCCTGGGGGCCTCAATAGCAACGGCCCTTCCTCCCATATTTGTACGGCAATAGGGAATGTGAAGCTGGTAAATGAGCGAAGACCTTAGGTCAAATTTGTTCTTTGAAACAGAGAGGAGATGCAGCAGGTAATCTGCGGATTTTTTTGTAAGTACATAATGAATAAATAAGATCTGATGCACAAGTCGTCGAACATTGAGAGATGTTAAGTTTGACCCAATGTAGAGATCACAGTGGTGAGTCCTATATGGGCAGTTCAATGCAAATCTTAAGGCCGAGTGATACATGTGCTGTTAGCGAGTAGCAGCACCTATGAAGGCCGGCACTGTGACACACGAGGGGGTGGGTGGCCAGCACCACGCCCGGCGCCGTTGTCTCCCCCAGTAGCGATGCGTACACCACACCGGAACCAGATACTCATTTGAGGTTGAGTCGACCTAGGGGAGGCCCAAGACCGGTTCAGACAATCGTCACCAGTGTTAGTGGCCATGAGCGGGAGTCGAACTTGGATCGCCAGGTTCATAGCGCAGCGCGCTACCTGCTACACTAAATACAGACAATGTCTGAAGCACAGAGTCCTGTACTTAGACATCGTGGCATAATAGTATACTTTGTATACATTCAGATATTCAAAGATACATACGATACATGGAGACACACGTGACATACACATACAAGCAAAATACTTTACACACACAAGTATACATACAGTCTAAGAAAACACGCACATACACCGACACACACAGTCACATACAGACTAACACAGACACACAAACAACAACCGCCATTCGCCACTAAGTGGTGGTGACGTCACCACGGCCCTTGTGCCAGGCTAGGTGCACGTTGAGGCCACGTGAAGTGTCGAACACCCGCTGGCAGGAGGTCACGGGGCAGACCCAGGTGCCACGGGTCGACTGACTGATGACTGAGATGACTGGCTGATGCACCACCTGTGACTCCTACTGTGCCAACTGACTGTGCTTTAGGCACCCGGCGCTCCGCTCGTTGTTGTGAGCGTCGCTCCTCCGCCCTCTATTGTTGTTGGAGGACGACTGCCTCCAACTGCTCAGTAGCGTCCTTCACGAGCCTCCTCCACAGAGGCCGATCTTGACACCGCTGGTACCAGTCATTGGCAAGTCCACTCAGCTCTACATCCTCTTGTACCACATCACTCTATCTCTTTTCTAGCCCGTGCATCTACACACACAGTCACACACGCAGACACACACAGAGACAATACTTTACAGACACAAGTATCTAACCTATATAATTCATTTTTTGTCTGTCTGCATGTGGCCGACACTTGCGAGGGATTTGGCTCGCGAACCGTAGAGTTTACGCTTAAATAAAGTACCCAGGTAGAACGGCGTAAGCCTCATGGTGAGCCAGCGCTATTCCGATTTCGCGTCCATCGCCTTTAAAGTAGTTTAATTAGTGAATTAGTGCAGTTTTTTGTCATTTCTTTATTATTTTAGTCTCCCAGCGCGCCAATGCAGGCATCTGCGCATGCGCGCCTCCTAGCGACGCGCACACGTTCGGTGGGGGGGGGGGGAGAATTCATTTGCATTAAAAATGCAGCCAAAAAACATACAAAACTGATGTACATTCTTCAAAGTGTGATGTCCTTTTCACCCCCCCCCCACCCCAATGTGTGCAATTACTACTATAGGGTCGGTAGATACTAATATTATAGAGCTTACATACTATTACTGTAGAGCGGGCGGGGGGGATGGCGGGGAGGGGGGTGTAGCGGCCCAGCCCCAGCCTGCCAAGGTACCACCTCGGTCGGCTGGGCAATCTAGGCGAGGCAGGGGGCTCTGCACGGGACTAGGCCTCACCACTGCACTCTGTGAAATGAGAACTATTACAGAGTCGATATATATAATTGTAGTGTAGTAGAACGGCACTAATGTATTGGCTCGGAATGGGGGCTCTAGGCAGATGTCACGGGGGTCGTATCGGTCCCTGACACTCTGCGTGAACTTAACAGGACACGTGACCGGATAAAGGGGGGCCAGAGGCCCCAGGGGGGTTAGGTGGTTTGGTTTCGGGCCTTCCCGAAGGATCGGGAAGGGGGGCATGGCCTCGAACAGAGCCGGCCACGCCGGAGTGGTTATAAGCGGGGCGTGGATGGAAAGCTAGGCTGTTCTGTGCTGATCTGCTGGGTCATCTCTGGGATGAAGCTCTCCGGTCTCCGCTAGTGGACCAGGCAGCGTGCTGGGCTGTCCTGGTCCAGTGATATAGTAGCCCCGTGGGTTAGCTAAGTTCGGAACAGTGGCTGCCACCTTAAGTCGTTATGTTAAGTGTTACCTGTTGCGTCAGCTAATAAATAGTGTTGCCTCCAAAGTCCAGTGTGCGCTTGAATTTAACCCAATACCCTTTCATAGAGTCGGTATACACGACTATAGAGTGAGTAGATACTACTGTAGAGTAGGTAGATAATACTGTACAGTTTGTAGCTACTGCTACTGTAGAGCGGGCGATGGGTGGGGGGGTATAGCAGGCCAGCCCCAGCCTGCCAAGGTGCCACCTCAGTTTGGGCAATTCAGGCGAGGCCGGGGACTCTGCATGGGACTAGGCCTCTCCATGGCACTGTTAAGTAAGTACTATATTCTTGCTTCTTTAGCTAAGGCAACGTACATAGAAAACTAATATTACAAAATTTAAATAGTAAATATTAAAATCATAATGTGTGTATGTAAAAAACTATTATAAAAAAATGAAGGTAGTAAACATAATAATAACGTGTGTGTAAGTCCATGTGTGCATGTGAGTCAATGTGTATGAGCTCCTCCGGCAGGCAAGGCTGCGTTGGCTGGGTCATGTAACCCGCATGCCCAGCCACCGCATGCCTAAATAGCTTTTGTTCGGCCGGATCGAGGGGGCTAAACGGGCGCAGCATGGGCTAGAGAAGATATGGAGTGATGTGGTACAGGAGGACGTGGAGCTGAGTGGACTTGCCGATGACTGGTACCAGCGGTGTCAAGATCGGCCTCTGTGGAGGAGGCTCATAAAAGACGCTACTGGGCAGTTGGAGGCAGTCGCCCTCCAACAACAACGAAGGGCGGAGGAGCGATGCTTACAACAACGAGCGGAGCGCCGGGTGGCTAAAGCACAGCAAGTTGGCACAGTAGGGGGCACAGGTGGTGCATCAGCCAGTCATCTCGGTCATCTCAGTCAGTCGACCCGTGGCATCTGGGTCTGCCCCGTGACCTCCTGCCAGCGGGTGTTCGACACTTCACGTGGCCTCAAGGTGCACATGGCCTGGCACAAGCGTCGTGGTGACGTCACCGCCACTTAGTGGT